TGATGCCTCCAGCTTTGTTCTTTTTTTATTTTAAGATTTTATTTTTCCTTTTTCTCCCCAAAGCCCCTGTTACATAGTTGTATATTTTTAGTTGTGGGTCCTTCTAGTTGTGGCATGTGGGGTGCCACCTCAGCATGGCTTGATGAGCAGTGCCATGTCTGCGCCCAGGATCTGAACCAGCAAAACCCTGGGCCACCAAAGCAGAGCATGCGCCTAACCTCTCTGCCATGGGGCCGGCCCCTCCAGCTTTGTTCTTTTTCCTCAGGATTGCTTTGGCCATTCAGGGTCTTTTGTTGTCCCATTTAAATTTTAGGGTTCTTTGTTCTATCTCTGTGAAGAACGTCATTGTGGTTCTGATTGGGATTGCATTGGATCTGTAGATTGCTTTAGGTAATATGGACATTTTAACTATGTTTATTCTTCCAATCTATGAGTATGGAATATCTTTCCATTTCTTTATATCTTGTTCGATTTCTTTCAATACTGTCTTATAGTTTTCATTGTATAGGTCTTTCACCTCCTCGGTTAAATTTCTCCTAGATATTTTATTCTTTTTGTTGTGATTGTAAATGGGATTGTATTCTTGACTTCTCTTTCTGCTAGTTATTAGTGCATAGAAATGCAACTGATTTTTGTAAGTTGATTTTGTACCCTGCAACTTTGCTGTGGTTATTGATTATTTCTGATAGCTTTCTAGTGGGTTCTTTAGGGTTTTCTATATATAGAATCATGTCCACAAACAGCGAGAGTTTTATCTCCTCTGTTCCAATTTGGATTCCTTTTATTTCTTTTTCTTACCTAACTGCTCTGGGCAACCCCTCCAGTACTAAGTTGAATAAGAGTGGTGACAGTGGGCACCCTTGTCTTGTTCCTGTTCTCAGAGGGATGGCTTTCAGTTTTTCACAGTTAAGTATGATGTAGGCTGTGGGTTTGTCATATATGGCTTTTGTTGTGTTGAGGTACTTTCCTTCTATCCCCATTTTGTTGAGAGTTTTTATCACAAACGAATGTTGGATCTTGTCAAATGCTTTCTCTGCATCTATTGAGATGAACACGTGATTTTTATTCCTTATTTTGTTAATATGGTGCATCACATTGATTGATTTGCGGATGTTGAACCATCCCTGCATTGAGGGAAGAAATTTGTGTGCCTCCAGTCTTAGCCCAGAGTCCACTTCATGTCAGTCCAGATTTCACCTCCAAGAGTCCCTCCCCACATACACACCATGTTGTTAGGAGAGCAGACATGACGGAGAGACATGATCAGGGAGTAATTGGGAATTTGGGTAAAAGATTGTATCCCCTATGAAGGTGGCCAGACAGAGAGCTGTTGCACCAGTCACTCAGAAAAATGCAAACAAAAAAGATTGGCTGATGCATTCAATATGGGAAAAGAAGCCAACGTGCCATATAATTCTGTATTTTTCTTTTCTTGATGTGAGGTAAACCAGCCCTTCCTATGCAGATTGCCAGCAAAGCTAAGGCTATTGAGAAGTGACCCAGCCTCCAGTTCCCCACCCGCACTCCCACATGAAACAATAAGAGTATACATGCCTTTCTCACCAGCTGATAGTCATCATTTAAAGGCTTCTTTTTCTGTGCTCCAGGAATACCCAGAGAAATTTGCAGAAGTATTCTGCAGTGTTTTCAGTTAATAGCCCCACTCGTGGGGGATGAGCATAGGCTGCTGAGTGGAATTCTGCAACCAGACTTGGCTCCTGGGATGGAGCTAGCACATCAGGGACCAGATGACTCACCCTGTCAAGGGGTATTCATGACCAATGGAAGCTGACTATCTGCACTGGCCCCCTACACCCCCTCCCTACCCTGCTACTGGGAAAGAACTAAGACCTTTAGAGAACCATCCAGAGGAGTTGATGGTGGGCATATTGAAGCCCTCTTGCTAAAGGTAAGCTGGGAGAAATTACATCGGTGTACCCTGAAGACCTGAGTCCTGCACTGGTTTCCATCACTGGTTTGTTGATTGAAATTTCTCAGAATGTACTGGCATGGATCCAAGTGCAGATCAAACTTGCTCTTAGTCTAACCACTTTTGTCTCAGCCCTCTTACTGTCTCTCCAAACTCAAGTTAGGGAATCATGGTGGCATGGAAAGTACAAATGATTGCCCAAATCTCATCTGCAGCTACTTAGTGTTTGGGACAATTTAGAGAAGGATAAGGAAGTTAAGGAATTTGAAACTGCTGTGTAGCTGCTTTGAACAATTCACTAGAGGGAATAATCCCTACTCTGGACCAGCTGTGAAGGGAGCAGGGGAAGAAGGGAAAGCTTATGTCATTAGTGCCAGAAGCCAGGACATCGGAAGAGGGATTGTAGAAAGATCCCAGGGAAGGCAGAAATTTCAGGAACATAGGAATCAGGACAAAACCCTCTGCTAAGAAATAATAGGTAAATGGCTCAAAGTTGGCAGATTGAGGGAATCTCAGAGGTGAGAAATGGTGAACCTACCATACACGTCAAAACCTTTTCCTGGGCCCAATATAGCCTAACTTTTTCTGACAGAGCCTGGTGCTACTGATGTCTGCAGTTTCCTGGAAATGTCCGACTTCCCATCTGGTGACTGATCAATACAGGCTGTTGGTTGTTTGGGTCACCTTTCTACTTGTCCTTTTTCCTTCAGGGTTCCTATAAGTACAGGGCGCTGACTGAGGCATGTGTGCTCTTACCATCCTCTGATTCTCCTGTTAACCTTCTGGGGAGAGACTTCCTGTGCAAATTAAAGGCTGCCATATTCTGTACCAAGGATGGAGTGTTTGTGGAGCTCCCTGGAGAAAAACGTCCCCAACTTGGTAACTGTGTGTCTTTTTCAAGAAAAGTGAGATAGCAGAGAGCGACAGTCCCACAGTGCACTGGAAAAGCACTCCGAGCTGAAACAATCGATGTATGGAGTTGGGCCTTAGGGAATAATGATGCTGATTTAATTGGAGATCTAGAACCAATAAAAATAACCTACGAAATGGATAAGCCACAATCAGGTATAAAACAATATACTTTGTCAAGAACCCAATTAGAAGAAAGAAAACCAGTTATAAAAGAATTAGAAAAACAAGATAATTTTAAAAGATCACGCATCCTATAAAAAAGTAATCTAAATTTGATAAAATAGTCTACCAATATATAGATTTGTACAAAATGTTAGAACAATAAATTTATTATTCCATTAACGTTAGACCCTGTAGTTCCTAACACAGCAATGTCCTGACTTTAGTACTGTCATATGCAAGCTTCATCTCCGTGGTTGATCTATGTTCTGTTGCTTTTCTGTCCATCCAAGGGATGAGTCTAAATTCTTGTTTGCTTTAACTTATGGAGTTGCATATTTATGCCAAAGATTCCTCAAGGGTTTGCTGACTCTCCTATTTTCTCTAGTCATTTACAGGAGAGCTTAGAGAAATATGTCCCACTAGAGAGGTCTATTATTATTCAATATGTAGACAAGTTGCTGGTAGCCTCTGAAACTAAAGAGCAGTGTAAAACCAGCAGTTTGGCATGTTACAATTCCTTGCTTCACAGGGATGTGAGGCTTCACTAGACATATTGCAATATTGTGAAGCTGAAGTAAAATTTTATTGAGACCACATTGGTTAATAACATTGTGTAATTTCAGGCGTATGTTATTATATCTGAGTTTCCGTATAGACGGAATCGTGCTCACCACCAACAGTCTAGTTTTTGTTTTTGTTTGCTTTAAAGATTGGCACCTGAGCTAACATGTGTTGCCAATCTTCTTGTTTTTTTAAATTTCTTCTTCTCCCCAGAGCCCCCCCCCCCCCCCGCCCCCGTACATAGTTGCATATTCTAGTTGTAGGTCCTTCTGTTTGTGCTACGTGGGACGCCACCTCAGCAGGGCCTGATGAGCGGTGCCATGTCCACGGCCAGGATCCGAACCGGCGAACCCCTGGGCCGCCGAAGCAGAGCGCGTGAACTTAAGCACTCGGGCCACGGGGCTGGCCCCTAGTTTTTGTCTCTCACCATACGCATGTGTCCCTTTACCCCTTTTGCCCACTCCCCCACCTCCTTCCCCTCTGGTAACCAGGAATCTGTTGTCTTTGTCCATGTGTTTGTTTATCTTCCACACCATGAATGAAATCGCGTGGGGTTTGTCTTTCTCTGTCTGGCTTATTTTGCCTAACATAGTACCCTCAAGGTCCATCCATGTTGTTGCAAAGGGGACGATTTTGTCTTTTGTATGGCTGAGTAGCGTTCCATTGTATATATATACACCACATCTTCTTTATCCAATCATCAGTGGATGGGCACTGGCGTTGCTTCCACGTCTGGGCTATTGTGAATAACGCTGCAGTGAACATAGGGCGCAGGAGTCTCTTTGAACGGTTGATTTCAAGTTCTTTGGCTAAACACCCAGGAGTGGGATAGCGGGATCATACGGCATTTCTATTTTTGATTTTTTGAGGAAATCTCCATACTGTTTTCCATAGTAGCTGCACCAGTTTGCATTCCCACCAGCTGTGTAGGAGCATTCCCTTTTCTCCACACGCTCTCCAACACTATTTCACAGCTTGTTAATTGTAGCCATTCTGACGGGTGTGAGGTGATATCTCATTGCAGGTTTAATTTGCATTTCCCTAATAATTAGTGACATTGGACATCTTTTCATGTGCCTGTTGGCCATCTGTATATCTTCTTTGGAAAAATGTCTGTTCGTATCCTCTGCCGATTTATTGATCGAGTTGTCTGTGTTTTTGTTGTAAAAGCGAGGCCCCGTTCCTTACTAATCTTTTATGATACCAAAGTCAAGTCAGTAGTAGGTATCCAAATACCCAAGCCTAAATTTGACCAAAAGAAAAGTTTTGTTAAGCGGCTTGATGGGAAGGATGTGTCGAGAAGAAAACACTGCGTTAACTACACTACAAGAAAACTAGACGGGAGTAACCCCGCTACGGGACTCTCCTCCTCCTGTGTGTGGCCTTCACGATGCTAAGAACGTAAGTGAATACCGAGCCACCCGAAATCGTGAGCATGGTGCTGGGAAGACCCTTCATGAAGCGCCTGAAGAAGGACGTCTGCAAGCAACAAGGAAAAACCCCAAAGACGTCGCTCGCGGAACAAGGCTGCTTTTAGATAACGCAAAAAGCCAGGGGAGAGCGCGAACGCAGTCCCCCACTACCACAAATTATGCAGTCGAGTTTCCCACATTTGGGGAAATCGCAGGGGTCAGCACATCCGGAGTGCAATGGATAAGCCTCGCCCTGGGAAAACCACCTTCGTGATCATGGTATCTCCCCTGCCAGGTAAGTATGAGTTGCTCGCCCCGCCCCGACACGCACCCCCGCGCGGTCCCGCTCCTTACGCACGGTCACTTCCCCCGCCCCGCCCCGCCACGCCGCCTCCCGCCCCCGCCCCCTGGAGGCCCCGCGGCCCCGCCTCGCCCACCCCCACGACCAACCCCGCAGCTTCTGGATCTCCGCACGCGGGGCGGGACCGGCAGCCTCTGCGCGCGCGCTCATCTGCATACGCCACGCCCTTGTCGTGACGTCGCCGGCGGCCTGTCTCCCGCTCGGGGACACGGGACCGACGCGTCCCCACGGGACACCCGACGAGTCCGGGGCTCGCGGCGCCGGCGCCCAGCAGCTCGGGGTCCCCCGAGGGGGCGGCTCCGGGCTCGGGTCCGGTCTCCCCTTCCTCTCAGCGAGGAGGCGGTTCCAGCCCCTGATCGCCCTCGCTGGCTCCCACTCGCCCTCAAATCTCCCGACGCTCGGGCGAGGCGTTTCGGCCGGTTGCCGTCGCGCTCCCGCTGCTTCGCGGGCTCTTTCTCGGGCTTCCGCACGTGTAGCGGCCTGGGCTAGTCGGGCCGGAGCGAGAGCCGGGGCTCCAAGCTGGGAAGAAAGAGAGCCGGCCGCCAGCGTCCCGCGGGCCCCTCCGGCCGCAGCCCGGCGGGGGCGCCGAGCTCGGGGCGGGGTGAGCGCGGCGGACGGTGAGGCGGAGACCGCGGCTTTCGCGCCCTCGCTGCGGCCCGCGGCGGAGAGAGCGGGGCCGCGCCGCGATTCGCGCGGAGGCGCCTTGGGCGTTTCAAAGGCAGAACGAAGGGCGGCGGCTCGGTCGGGTCAGAGCAGGGAGGACCACGAAAGGGTGGTCGGTGCGAGGGCGACTGTCGCCCTCCTTCCTGAGGACCTTCCCGAGGAGCGGCTCTCGGTCCTTGAGAGGGGCGGTGTGGAGCCGCGGGGGGTCCGCGGTCTCGGTCGTGAGCCCTTCTGGACGGATGGACGCTGTCGAGCAGGGAGGGCCGGGCCGGCTCGGGGCCGCCGCTGTCTCGGGCGGGCGTCCGACGGGGCCGGAAGCCGCGCTCCAGCCCGCCCCTGGCGCCGGCCCCTCCTGTCACACTCGGGTCTCCTCCCGGAGGACGCGCAAGATTTGGGCCACTCGACGCCTGTTTGCCGAGCGCGTACCCGGTGCCGGACAGCGTCCGGGCACCTGGGAACGGGAAGCCCTCTCGGTGCTCACGTTTTCGTTAGAGAAGAGGGAGGAGAGCGGGAGAGAGTCGACGACGGACGCGACAGGTAACTGAATTCGTACCTTAGGTGTTAAGAACCATGAAAAGAGACAAAACGGAGGAGGGACGGGGGCCGGGGAGCTGCGGGAAGGGGCGGGTTGCTGAGTGAGGCGGGGCCGCGCCGGGGACGGGCCGTGGGAGCGGAGGCCCGGGGAGGGGAGGTGAGGGGGCGAGGGGGCCGGCGGGCTCGGGGCGGGGCCTCCCGGCACGAAGTCGGCCGCCCAGGCCCGGGAGGACGGCGCCTGCAGAGCGGCAGGGAGGCCCGTGTCCGGGTGTCCGGGGCGCCGTCAGAGAGTCGCGCACCGTGGGGTCCGGGAGGTGACTGGGGCCTCGGACGCCGAGGGTCTGTAGACCACCGAAGGCCTGGAGTTCAGCGAACCAGAAGCTCTGAGCCGAGGAGCGGCTTGGTCTGACCCTCGCCGGCCCCGCCACGACCCCCGCCCCCTCCCCGGCCCCCATCCCTCTGGCTGCCAGGGTGGCGAGGGCCCGAGCAGAGAGACCAGCGAGGGCATCTGCACTAGCCAGGCACGACGCTGTTGGCCTGGAATGGGGGCCGAATATGCACCCCCCGAAAATGCCATTTTGGCATAAGGACTGTTTTGAACTAAAGGCGCTTGAAAAGCAGGTGGTGGCTGGGCGGTTCGCAGCCGCCCACCGGTGCCCATGCCGGTGGGTTCTGCTGCTCCCCCCCGCCAGGCCTCCCCCGCCCGACCCCCGCGTCCCTCCGCCGACGCCCCGCTTCCGCTCCCCCTCTTACCGGCTTTCCGGCCGCGGACCGCTGGCGTCGCCGCCTGCGGGTCGGGGCGCGGGGAGGGGACGGGAGGCAGCAGGTGAGAGCCCGGGCCCAGGCACCTTGAAAATCGCCGTCCCGGGAGGCCGGCCGCAGCCCACACACGCCCCCTCACGCCGACCCCGCAGCCCCGCGCGGAGGATGTGCCCAGCCCGGAGGGGGGCGCCTGGCGCCGAGCGCGCGGCTCTCCTCCCAGGGGCTTCCCGCCAAGCCGAGGCGGCCGGGCTTCGGGCGGTCCAGGGACGTGGCCTCCGTGGTTCCAAGAAAAAGGAACGACCCCGCCGTGGCAGCGCGCACCCTTCGACAGCTCAGCTGGGAGAGAGGAGGACTGTAGGCTGGGCGGGCGTGGACATCCTTAGGTCGCTGGTTCGATTCCGGCGCGAAGGAGCTGCCCGAGCTCTTGCGCCCTCCTGAAGGGCCTCCCCGGCGCCCAGCGCCCGCTCCTGCCCCCGGAGGATCGCAGCGTCCTCTCGCGCGCGGGCCAGAGCCCGCGAAGCCTTTTCGGAACGCCGCCGTAGCTTCGCGTGTGCTGTCGCCGGGGAGCGCACCGGCGCCGTCTCCGCACGGTCCGCGGACGCAGTCCCCTCGGCGCCAAACAGCCCCCGTTGCTCCTGCCGTGTCGCGCAGCCCCAGCCGGCCCGCGACGTCCCGCGCCCTTTCCACATCGATTCACCCACGGCCCGCCATCCGGAGCGCCGGCTCTGCCGCGGCCGCTTTGCTCCCCATTCACAGAGCCCTGCCACACCCGTGGGCAAAGCGGCTGTGCCCACGACCAGCCCTGGAGGCTGACAGGCACACAGGCCCTCACAGCGGCCGGGGACCAGCACGGCAGCCGCCGTGAAGACTCTCCGTCGCCTGCTCTCCCTCCTCGCAAACGATGCTCACGGTCCCTGTGTCTCCTAGTTGCAGCCTCTCTTTGTCTCTCCCTCTCTGTCTCCGTCTCTGTCTCTCTGCATCTCTCTCTCTGACTCTCTGTGTCTCTGTCTGTGTCTGTCTGTCTCTGTCTCTGCATCTCTCTCTCTGACTTTCTGTCTCTGTCTCTCTCTCTATGTCTCTGTCTCTCTCTGTCTCTCCCACTCTGTCTCTGTCTCTCTGCATCTCTCTCTGTCTCTGTCTCTCTCTCTGTGTCTGTTTCTCTCTGTGTCTATCTCTCTGTCTCTCAATGTCTCTGTCTCTGTACCTGTCTCTGTCTCTCTCTGTCTCTGTGTCTGTCTGTCTCTGTCTCTCTGTCTCTCTCTCTCTCTCCCTCTCTCGTATGGTCTATACATATGTGGACCTAGCGAGACAGGAAACCCTCTTCCCTGACCGGCTTGATCTACTCGTGGGACAGAACGGGCGCCCCGAGGTTTCCAAGCCATTGCCAATTGCGCGCGGCACCGGGGCTGACGCCGGCAGGAGCAAAGTGCAGCAGGGCTCCTGGTGGGCTTTGACAGTCACGAGGGGAGCCTCGGAGGCCCGGAGGCCCGTTCTGGTTTCCTGCCAGGCTGAGGACAGGGGTGTGGCCCGGGGAAACTGCAACTTTCCCGTACCTTTGCAGCGGTTCTTGGAGCTGAGGGAGGGTTGGAATTCCTGCGGAAGGAGCAACGATCGCTCCCACTGTACAGTGCTGGCCAACGCCCCGCACCGATTCTCCTGCTAGATCTGACGGAGATGTCTCTGTCTGTATCTACACCAGTATCTTGTCTGTATCTACATACACGCGTATATGACGGCAACAGCGCAGCAACAGAGCTGGGAGAGAGCCCTGAGAGTCGGGGGCTATGGGGGCTGAAGGCAGGGAGCAGAAGGGGGATGGGGGTGGGAGGTGGGCGGCTGCCATCATAGAGGGGCACACCAATTCACTTCCTTGCACGGGCCTGCAAGAACCTGTGGGTTCTGACCAGCTGGCTAACTGGAGTGCTGGGCCCTTGAGGCTAACCTGGCAGGGCCTGGAGAGGAAGATGCCGAGGCCCAACCAGTGAGCACCCAGCAGGAGATGGGCCTGGCTTCACCTGGGGATAGAGCCGGCTTGGGGAGGGGGTGCGTGCAGAGAAGAAGGCCGAAGGCCGGGGAGCGGCCCTTGCTCTCTTCCCTCCTGTGGGAAGGAAAGTCCAGAGACCCGCTGTCCAGCTGGAGCGCATCACAGAGAGGACCCGCAACAGAAGCGCAGTGGTACGTGGCTCCCTGAAGCCTCAGGGGCCCAGCCGCCGCCCTTCCCTCACCCCTGAGCCCACGAGCTCTTTTTCGGTCCTGCTTCTGCCTCTGAGGCTGGAGACTGCATTTCCACACAGTCCCCCTCTCCTGGCCCGCCGCCCCCGGTCTCCCCCCTGCAGCCTCAGCCTTCCGTCCTGTCCCACGGCTAACTAAGATGGGCTGAGCCGGAGTCTGTGGAGTCTCCTCGGGTCCGGGGAGTCGTGCCATGGCAGTCTGACAGGGGACCTTCAGGAAGATCCTATGGCCCTGCCGCTACAGAGAGCCCTGAGCCTCGAATGTCACCATCTGCGGAGACCAGAGGACAGAGACGACGGACAGAACCTTAGGCCTTCACTGGACACGGCCCCTGACTGGATGTGGAGGTGTGGCATCCTTGGGACCCCCTAGCTTTGGTGCTTTGGGGAAACAGCTGAAGGGGGAAGGAGAGTGGATTTTGGTGACCAGCACACGTGAGCGTGAGCCCCACACCCGACTCTTTCCGTCTGGGGTGTCACAGAAAGTAGTGTGGGGGTGTGTGTGTGGGGGGGGGGGGGGGGGGTGCCTTCCGAGGCACTGCCCCTCATCCTAGAAGGTGCAGAGGTGCCTGCCGCCCAGTCAGGGAGTGGGGACACTCTCAGTCGAGGGGAGGCCACCTCACTGTGGCTTG